TCTCTTGAGTCTGGGTAGTTGGTGTTACTTCGGTTGGATGTGTTTCGGTTAGGAGGGCCCTCACTTCGTTCCTCTTTGCCATCTCTTATTCAGCAGTAGTTCGGACCAGGTTAATTTGTGGCAAGGTTGGATCCGGTTCAGGCGATGCCTCTAACAAAAAGTCTGTTACTCTGGTTTTTCGTCGACTGCTATATCTGTATGTCGGTTCAAAATTGAGCAGCTTGGCCCAACTTCTTTCAGTATACCGTAGTGCGGCGCGAAGTGTGTTTAGGCTAGGGTAACTGTACAGTGACTTGAGGTGGGCTGAGTCTGCATAAAGAAAATAGCTGTCAGTTCGGTTCAGGAACAGGAAACCGAAATAAAAAGAGGCATGCAATAAAGCCGAGGTAATTATACCGGTGGTCCCTTTATTCCAGTTTATTCGATCACCAGGAATCTGGGCTGCTTGGTCTTCGAAGTTCCCAGAAACCCAGAAGAAATCATCATCGTTCAAGTCTTTATCCGGTGTGTCCGTTATTATTTTCTCTCGACGACGGCGTATTCTTAGATAATAGACCCAGCCATCTTCTTTTGATCCTATTGAATATTGATGAAAGAGTTCGGCTAAGCCGAGGTTAATGCCAGCTCGGCGGTTTAGCTTAGCTATACCGTTTATTATGCGGTATGAGTTTGTGGAAAGCTGAGTGGGGCATATCCTAGTTTGCCTAAAGAATTCACAAAGTAAGGGCTGAACAGGGAATCTTAGGCCGGTTTCTACAATGGACAGGAGGGTGAAGGGAACAAAACCAGGGTTTCCTCCAGGTATGATATCTTGTTCGGCCAAAGTTAGGTGAACATCATCAGGGATGTTATAATCTTTTCGAAATTCGGCCAAACCCCCAGGTGTGTCTACTAAGAACCTATATTTACCCATTCTCTTTTAAGTTACGAATAAATTAAGCTTGTGTTAGCTCGGTCGGAGAAAGGTGCTGAGTAGTTCGGTTGAGCGCTCAAAGGAGTGCCTGGGCAACCTAAAGTCTGCAAAGTGAAAAAAGAGGTGTTAAGCACAGCTCGTGGGACCGTGCTAAAAGAACAAAAAGGGGCAAGATAAATATAGTCCTAGCTCGGTTTGAAGAAAGAATTTGGAATCTTGGTTTGTGCAAGGGGTTTGTTATTTCGTTTTGTGCAAAAGTTCGTGTTAGCTCGGTTAAATCTCTAGGGGCAAAGCTCTTAGTTCGGTTTGAACTACGAAGGCGGGGTTAGCCCCAAGTTATAACTCGACCGTGGTTGAGACTAACAGACGCACTATTACGCAGACTTAGTGCGGATTGCTAGCTCGGCTGAGTTAAAACAAAAGGTGGTTTGACTTGTTAAAACTAATGATATAACATAAAGTGTTAGTTCGGTTGAATGGTCTAGCTAGAATGACATCAACTACAAACGACTTTTTAGTTCGGTTATACTATGATTTTGGATCAAAATCAGTATTTTTTCAGTTTATTCGTAAAAAGCCAGAGGTTCTGTTACACGAAAGAAAGGTGTGTGTTTTGAAAAAACACACAAAATACGTGTATCGTAAAAGCAAATGCGAAAACAACAAAAACAAGGCAGATTTGAGTAAACTTACCAGGTCGAGAGGAAGAAATCAGAGATAGAAACAACGGCAATGAAGAACACGAACTCAGCAAGTTCAGGGTTGAAGAAGCTCAGGAACAAGAAAGAGAGATAAGGAAATGAATAGTGTGGTGAGTGATTCAAAAAACAAAGAGTTTTGTTTTGATGCAAGGACCAGAGGCGGGAACTGTTCAAAATTCACGGAGTTCGAAGACGGTGTGACAGCTGCATTGGGCCAATCAGAGGGGGCCACGTGTCCTTGGAATGAGAAACGATTCAGTTGTTGTGATTGAAGAGACGTTTTGATCGGACAGGTAGAGTCAGAGTGAATTTAGCTCGGCTGGAGAGGCTAAGAGAGTCTTTTAGCTCGGTCGGAAAGGCTAAAGAGCTTTTCACCTCGGTTGGTAGACAAGGTAATCCCTATCATGCTGCGCAGATGGAATTAAGGGGCAATTGAGAAGGTAATTTATATGAAAATTGGGCCGAGCTGGGTAATGGGCCGTTATGGGCCACAGTGCGAAGGGCTAAGTAAAAAGGCCATGAAGTTATTCCGGCCCAAGAGAGGTGTAAAGTTACTCCGGCCTGCGAGAGACCTGAAGATTACTCCGGTCCCAAAGAATTTACGGTAAGTTCGGTCGACACTCAATAAGTTATCTCGGTTTTGGACCGGAGTATTGGTTATTCCGGTCTAAACATACCGTGGTTAGCATTAAGAAGAGGCAAGGTAAGAGCAGTGAATGGAAGAGCCGAGCTAATGTTATCTCGATCTAGTTTGCGGCTCAACATAGCCATGCTTACCTCGGTCATGTTGAAGTCTGACCATGGTAGAACCATCCCACTTGGTTTATGCAGTGAGGGGGGTGTTGAAGGATAAGCATTATCTTTCAGGAATATGAATCCTAGGAGGATTCTACATGGAGGAGTAAAAGTCCTACTAGGATTGTGCCACGCGGAACCTATAAAAGCTTACAACATCACCTATGGAGAGGTAACACACAACTTTGATTCTCAAATACACAGAGCTTTTTGTCTTTGTCTATTTTGCTGACTTAGGCATCGGAGAGGTATTCGGCACACACCCGCCGACTAGCTCACGTTTGTGTTTTCAGGGAGTAAAGCAACGACGTTTTGAGAAAATATTAA